CAGCAAGTAAGATGATATGACCAACACTAGCCCTTGGCAGGGCAAATATTTGAAATATTATAAAATATATATATTGTGATAAAAATTATTTATTTTACAGTGCTTATCTCATGCGACAGTACAGGGGGGAAAGGGAATTGAAATTGCTTGTAATCGATAATTATGTGCAAAAAATGCCACTATTGAATTTTTCTTTAAATCCATTGACAGGAAGATTTAACCGCAACTAAGTGGTTAACAGAAAAATTTTGTATAATTTGAGCGAGACTAAAAGTGTTTTCCTTAAGCGATTTTAAAATACTTGTATGAAGAGATTTCTTAGAAATTAGAAAATATAGAACATTATTAATTGAAGGGTGAAAATAGAATAAAATCTAAATTTGACTCTGCCTAAAAATGAAAAAATACCGTTTACCTTTACAGCCCCAAAGGGTTGATACATAAATTTGTAAACTTTGCAGTTACCAAGGATATCTTGGCAAACGTATTATTCAAATGGTTAAATGTTAATAAGGCTTAAAAGCTAATATAGAGAAGCAATCCTGGATTGGAGATTAATACCGGATAGACTGAAATTTTGGTCACTAAGCCTTCGAAAAAACAATGCGAAACTAGACGACGATAAACGGAAACAAACACGTAATACAAAGGACAAATAGCTGTATTCCAAAATAATGGCAGAAAACGCGGATTTAAGAATTACATAGCTGTTGATTGGTAGATAGGCGATAAGGTTAGATTTTGGGAAAATCGTACTAGTGGGTACTAAAAGCTGTGTTTTCTGGGAATTGTTTTTAGCGACTCACTGTGAAAATTTATGAAGAATGTTTTTGTATTTAACGTCGATCTTCTCAAATGATATTTTGTAGCAGGATTTTGCATAATCTTACACGAAGAAGTACCTAAAATGTTTTTTTAATACTTATGAATTCCTAGCGTTTATGTATGATTAAGACTTTTGATTATGTATTTTAGGACCTTTAGTAGAATTTTATACATTTGTCGAAGATTTTGACTTGCTACGTTCCTGTTAAAGGTGAATCGTAAAATTTTCGATCAAAAAGTCAGCAATTTTGCCGATGACACTATGTAGATTCCAAGGAATCTTAATCCAAAAATTTCACATAAATGTAGAAGAAAGTCGAACTTGGCCACTTCATTTAGGTTATTTTGCCATGCAAACGTTCAAAACGTCGATGCAGGTGTAATTTATTTTTCTCTATATACCAAATGCATTAACATCTGCTGTTTTCGTACGTCTTACAGGGTGAGATGAAAAAAATGTAAAGAAGTAAAGAAGGGACTGAATCGAAACCCGCGTCGCAGTGGCCAAAAAATGGCTCGTTAGCTGAACATATCGCAATATTCCATTCGGCAAATGTTGAAAAATGAGCTCGGAGTAAAGCCATTGGAATTCCAAAAAATGCAAGAACTTACACCGCAACGGAAAGAAAATAGACTCAAAAGAGATAAAGAGTTGCTTTGCTTGGCCGAATGTGGTGAACTGCCGAATTTGATTTTCTCCGATGAGAAAACATACGTTGTCCAGCAGTTTGTAAACAAACAGAATGATCGTGTTTACTTGCCAAAGAGGTCAGCTGAAAATGTGCACCTTAGGTTAGCCACTAGAACTTAAGCGCCGGCCATGGTGATAGTGTGGTGCGGCATTTATTCTGATGCCACGGTCGATTAATGCCGAATTTTATCACAAAATATTCTGGAGGGTGTATTAAAGCATTGCGCACGCAAACATTTTGGCCGCAGACCTTGGACAATAGGGGTCAGCACCTTCATTTCCAGCGCACAATGGGCATCAAAATCTCTGGATACCAATCCGTTGGACTATTATGTATGGAGTATTTTAGAAAGCAAGGTTGGCATTAAAAAATACCAAAGTGTCGATCGCCTCAAGCAAGCACTTTGCTGGGAATGGGCTACAATAATGCAAAGCAACATTCGGTCGTCGTGTGACGGTCTTATTGTCCGTTTGAAGGCCATAATTCGGGCCAAAGGTTAACTTATTCTTAAATTTGATGCTACTTCCGAAATTTTTAGCTTTCATTCAAAAAAATTAAAAAAAAGTAAAAATTATGGCATTTGAATTTGTTGGAGTTTTTTTTATCTCACTCTATATATGAGAGCTATAGCTATATCGGAACCGATTTTTACCAAATTTGAAGTACTTGGATGAATTGAAGTTTCTGGGATGAATTCAGTGGGAATTGCCAAAATTCCGTCCATTTGGTGCACAATAAACTTGATATCGGATGAAGATGTATCAACATATAAAATCTGACCCTATCTCGATAAAATTTCAGACACTTATTTCCGAGCTCTATCGGTTGAAGATATATGTGAGACCGATTTTCAGCAATTTCAATCCCCTTGGGCCAAACAAATATTTTTTTTGGAAAATTTCATTTATTTACAAAAACGGGCGGACTGAAATTCATAAATCGACTCAAACTGATTCTAATAAGATCCACAGATCTCGCTTTCTTCTACATGTTACAAACAAATGCACAGGCATAATACCCTTACCATTCTGTGGTGTAGGGTATATAAATTGCCTGTGCAGATATGTCTTTGTATACAGGGTTGCCTATATTCGACGGACCCATGTTTTTTTTTTTTTTTTTTTTTTTTTTTTTTTTTTTTTTTAATCAAAGAAAAAAAATAAAATTTGGCGGTTGGCAATGTTAATCATTTAATTTGTTCCAAGTAGATTTGTTTTCATCAATTTTTGAATATGATATCTCTCAAATGGCTGCCTCTGGGGTTGATGACGTGTAGTGCCCTTTTTGCTGCATTTTCCATCGTTTTTGCCAACATTTCGGCCGGAATAGCGGCTATTTCTTCACGAATGTTGTCCTTGAGCTCTTCTACGGTCCTTGGCTTATTAACGTAAACCTTTGACTTCAAATATCCCCACAAGAAGAAGTCAGGCGGCGTCAAATCGGGCGAACGCGGTTGCCAGTCCAAATCACCACTTTTCGACATAAAACGGCCCGGAAACAAATTCTTCAGAAAATCGATTGTTATGCGACTTGTGTGCGGTGGAGCGCAGTGTTGTTGAAACCAGAACTGCCTCATACGCTTTCGACGAATAATTGGCATCACAAAATTGGTCATCATGTAGCGATAACGCTCCTGATTGATGGTAACAGCATGGCCATTTTCATTTTGGAAAAAAAAAGGGCCCAATAACCGTTTTCGCACTAACGCCGCACCAAACTGTGACTGCGTCAATTGAATTTTGTACGGGAACAAATGCAAATCAATGCGAATAATCCGTTGTAAAGTGGACCGAGCCATGTCCAACTGCTGAGAACGGCGTTTTTGGGATGTTCTTGGGGACCTCTCAACACTGGCTCGTACGGCAGCGATATTCTCGTCCGACCGCCTTGGTCGACTTTTATATGGCCTCTTCGGATTAGAAAGAGCCTTACCAGTCGAAAATTTTTCGTATAAACGCTTAATGGTGTTCTTAGAAGGCGCACTTCTCACATTTTTTAAAAGCACGTTCAGTTTTCACAATTGACTATTTCAGAGCGCTCGCGTGGCGTGTATTGGTTCATGGTAAAAATCTGCTTGGACTGACGATTCAAACGCGGTATGTCATTAAGCGATGTGACATCTCTGTCAAAAGTTATGGAGTTGCCAGATGGGTCCGTCGAATATTGGCAACCCTGTACATCTTTATTCGGCATTTTTATAATGTTTGCTACATTTTTAATTATCTCTAAATTGGTTATCTCAAAGGTGTTTTTATACTTTTGGCTTATGAATCGGTGCAAATCATGAGGGTATACAGCTGTCGGCAAAACTTTCTGATACCCCCTAATTCCAATATATTACTCAATTTAAGTAAGAAAATATCAATATCTTATTTTTACGTTTGTCGTATCCGTTTTTAATTTTTAATGAATAAGTTTTCGTTTTTGGTATTTAGTAAAACAGTGTCTATAGTCCAACGGTAATTTCAAACATCTATTTTTTATGATTCTTACAAAATGTTTACCACGCTTCCTTGATCGCAACCCCTACAGTATAACTTTCGGCCAAGCATTTAATACCTTGGTTTCATTACCCAAATTTAGCTTCATATAACTTGCTTTACATAATCTCATCTAACAATGAAATGATTGACATTCCCATTCTTTAAAAAGTATTTGCGTTTATTATCTTTGACACTTTACCAACTCACTCCACTTGGTTTTTGATTCAAAGTATATATAAAAACTTTTCTCAAAGAAATTTTAACCTTAAATACCAAGGTGGCAATAAAAGAATCCCCTTCCCGGCATATGGCGTATGGCAAGATGCTTTATTAACGTTATTCCCCCAAAAAAGTGACACTCACTCCCCAACCTTGATAATGAATCTCATTCCAAGAACAAAAATCCTTTTGACATTGGTAGGCATAATACCAAAATATTGTAACAACTATTTTGTACAGAGGACAAAAAAATTTCACAGTTCTCAGATTACATGCCTTGATTTTGTTGATGTTACTGTTGTTGTTCCTTGTATTCATTCATTCACTTTTTTATTACAATAAATTAAGGAATCACTTAACTTGCCAAAACAATGGCTTTGATGTTACGCACTTTGGCAAAGTTTTGTTTTTTTTTCTCAGTTCGTAGCTACTATGTCAATTTTTTGGGTTTGAGAGGACGAATATGGGAGTGGGGCGGCGATGGAGTAGAGTATGATATCTTTTTAATGGAATTCTTTGAAATTCTAATTAAAATATTTATAAACTTGTTCAAAGTTACCCGGCAGTTGCCTTTATAACATAATATCAGCAAAATTATTTTTTGTATTTGTTGGTCGTCGTTAGATTCAGTTGTTCATTGTTTTGGTGGTTTAGTGTACAAAAAATGTTTATGTATGTGTGTGTGTGTGCTTGCGATGTACTTGACACACTTGAAATATTGTTGAACTGAAATTAAACGAAAATTATATTTATCATTTTTTCCTTGTTCATTTCATTACAGCGATTGTCGTGTGGTACGCGATCCACAAACATTGAAATCAAAGGGTTATGGCTTTGTGTCCTTTGTCAAAAAATCGGTAAGTCATATTTTTAAACGATGATGACCTTATGACATTTAAAATACTCTTTAAAATACTTGCCTCCATTACCCAATTTCCTTTCTCGTTGCCACCATCTTACCTCAATTATTCATGGTTTTATTTTCTTTATCTGCGTGCCTTTTTTACAGGAAGCCGAAAGTGCCATAACGGCCATGAACGGCCAATGGTTGGGATCTCGTTCAATTAGAACCAACTGGGCCACCAGAAAACCCCCGGCGAGTAAAGGTAAGTAATACATATATACATAACGGTACATGTACAGGGTCATAGAAATGTCCATCGGCCCAATTCTGCATTATTCAGGGTGGGGTGTATGAAAATTTTCATTTCTTTTATTGTTTTGATTTATTGCCACAAACAATAGCACCGCCCATAATACTTCATTAATATGTAATTATCTCAAATATTTTTTATGATATTTACAAAGAAAAAAAATATATACGACTTGTATTATCATAAAAATTCCATATTTTATTTTGTTCGTATAAGTATGCTTGTGTGTGTGAGTGTGCAAAATATAACAACGTTTATGTGGTTGGTCGACCGATCGGCCAGTCAGCCAGCCAGCCATCCATCCGGTCGTTGGTTTGTTTGTACGCTCAGTCAATTGGCCTTTGTCTAGATTATTAATAGAACATTTATGTTTACATGCCTCACCGGTGATTGAAAAAAGAATAGACCTAATAAATAACAGTTATACATTTGGGATATATTGTGAAAGATATTTTCCACATAAATATTGTCGTTAGTTAATTTATTGAGCCAAGTCAGGTTGGCAAGTAAGGGAAAAATACACAGGTTTACAACACATCGACAAATGTAACTAAATCGAATATGCTTAAAATCTTCAACAGTTGAAAGATTCGATATATTGGGGATATACCTTTATTAACATTTTAGAGCAGGTAATCAACCAAATTTTATTTTGGGAAATGGAAAATGGCTACCAAAAGATATCATATACAGAAAGTAACGATGTTTGGTGATATACCGAACTGTGAATCAACATTGAATAATTTTACGAGGAAGCCGAAACAAAAAATTACTGCTGCTTTGGTAAAAATTTGGACCGAAACCTTAAAAATGCTTAAACTTAGAAGGAACCATTATTTGAGGTTGTACCAAAACTAGACCTACATTTAATATTTTTACAAGAAGCTAAACTGTCCACTCCCTAAATATCAAAATTCAGTTGATTTGGTAAGAAAATGGAACCAAAATTTTCAAAAATATTGGCAGTGAAAATGCACTGTTATATGAGGACTATCTCAGAAATATTGCAAAACGGACAGACGGACCGAATTTTATGTTGATCACAAATATATACGGACCGACATCATCAAATTGACTTAGAATTTTTTGTTGATATATGCTCCTTATGGGGTCTCTGAGGAATATTCGGGATGTTACAAACGGAAGGGCATCTCGAGGTAGATGGTATACACCAGCGGAGATATAGGGCTGGAAATCTTTTTTTAAACTCCTTACCGAACATAGAATAGAGTGTTAAATAAAAATAACAGCAAATTTTAGCCGGGCTGACATTTTTTTACACTCCACCATAAAAAACTAAAATTGGCGCAAAATGCAACATATATACAGTGTGAGATAAAAAACTGCAACAAAGTCAAACGTCATAATTTTTATTTTTTTTTTTTTTTATTTATTTTTTTTTTAATAAAAGCAAAAAATATCGGAAATATCATCAAATTTCAGAATAAGTGTAGATTTGTTCGAATTGGTCACCTTTGGCACGAATTATGGCCTTCAAACGGCCAATGAAACAGTCACACGCTGTCCGAATGTTGCTCTGCGGTATTTTGGCCCATTCTCGGCGATGCGCTTGCTTGAGGTGATCGATACTTTGGTATTTTTTAGTGCCAACCTTGCTTTCCCAAATACTCCACACACAATAGTCCAACGGATTGGTATCCGGAGATTTTTGTGGCCATTGTGTGCGCTGGAAATGAAGCGATGAACCTCATTTTGTAACCATTCTTGGGTGGCGCGTGTTGAGTGCGATGGTACTGAGTCCTGTTGGAATGTCCAAGGTCTGCGGCCAAAATGTGTGCGTGCCCAAGACTTTAATACACCCTCCAGAATATTTTCGCGATAATGTTCGGCATTTATTCCGATACCATGGTAGATTACTACGAGTAGAGAGCGACCATCGGCTGTCCACACCATCACCATGGCTTTCGTTTGAGTACTGGTGGCCAACCGAAGGTGCACATTTTAGGCCGAACTTTTTGGCAAGTAAACACGATCATTTTGTTTGTTTACAAACTGCTGGACAATGAATGTTTTCTCATCGCAGAAAACCAAATTCGGCAGTTCACCAGCTCTTTTGAGTCTATTTTCTTTCTGTAGTAATGTAAGCTCTTGCACTTTTTGGAATTTCAATGGTTATACCCAGGTCTCACTGCGACTCGGGTTTCGATCAAGTCGCATCTTTGCCATTTCGCTTGAACCATTTCTGCAGATGTTGCAGTTTTCTTTCGTCCACTTCTTTGACGTCAGGCTACGCTACCAGTATCACGTTAACGAGCGATGATACGAGACACAAAAGATTTATTCACATTTAAATGCTGGAGTGCTCTAACGATAGCCGCTTGTGGTTTTCCAGCCAAATATAAAGAAATCACACTATCACGCTAAAATTCCATCACGAATAACTATTTTCTGGAATATTCTCACCAAAATGATTTTGTGCGCTTGTAAGCAATATAATAAGCTGTCACTGGAAAAATTTAACCGCTGTCGGACGAGTGGCTTAAAAATGACAGTAGTCTGAAGTTGTTTGCAGATTTTTCATCTAACCCTGTATTTTACCCTCTTTAAAATATTGCCATGATACGCACCCGCAATTGATAGAGTGGCAGAATAGAGATATTGCTCCCATGTATTAGTTCTATCCAAAGTTCAACTCCTTCATAACCGTAAAATATATTTAATAACGATAATGGTTAGTATGATTTATTCGCACAAATTTAGCACAGTATAAACATTCCTGATATATAAAATTTGAAACACCCATGTTATGATAAACGACAATACAAATTCACACATATTTTATTTAGGACCTAATTTTCGATACCGACACCAACGTTAATCTTCTAGTTAAAGCTTCCAAAAACAGTTGTTCATACCCCATATTCCAACTTTTAAGGTGGTATTTTAATAATTATAAACCTCCCATTTTACCTCCGTACAAGATTCTTGAAATTCCTGACAAGTAGTGTTCTCCATTTCAACTACATGATACACTCCGAAATATATTTAAGCAAATATATATGACACTTCAATAAATTCAATTTAATATATAATACTAATGCCAACCAACACACCTATTTATTCTATCTATTCACTGCCACCAAACCTAATTATTCATTTCAATGGAATATCATATCTGTGAATAATAAAGCGTTAACAAAGTTAGACATTTATTTACCCCATTTCCAGCGCAGAGACTTTCCCTCTCTTTATTGTATTTGATAGCTAAAGCATTTATAACGAATTAAATAAATGCCAAGTATTTGTTATAAGTGCTTTGCTGGCTGACAGGCAAGCAGGCAGGCTGGTGTGCCGCCAGTAATAGAAATCAAATCGAAATCATATACGACGACACAATAGTTTGTTATAAATCAAAACTTAACACATATTTGCATGTTTTATCATAATTTCGGAATTGTGTTATTATATTTTATTTGTTCGTCGAAATAAAATCCTCGAACCATTATCCTTTGCCATCGTTGTGGCTCCGTGTAACTTTTATGTGAACTTGTTGTTGTTGTTGCTGTTGATTTTTATTGTTTTGTATATCTGAAGGATGGGCGGGAGGGAGGTCGTTTGGTCGTTTAGTTAGTTTGAGTTGGAAATTTTTATACATTTTGGCGACAGGCTGAAATAATCATCATTCTCTCACGCTTTAAATGTCTGCAACAAATATTCAAGGTTATATAAGTTTGTTTAGCATTATTTGTTTTTCGTTTTTTTCTTGTTTTTGCCATTGATATTTAGTAATTTGAATTTGGCTGATGTATGCTACACGAGTATATTGCTTTAGAGCATTGATTTGCTGAAAAAATGACCAAAACCAAGATTGATCAAAAAGTTTTACATTTTCAGGTATATAAAATTGTTTCAGTTACTGTTAATTTTAAATAAGTGTCCTTACATGTAGGCTAAGCCAAAGAGTGGCTTACTCTAACTGTAATTGAAGGTTTCCATATAAATTTAAACAATATTAAAAATATATGGTTTTAAAGGAAATATCCGATTACTGAGCTGGAACCACAAAAAAGTAGAGACCATACTACAAATCTTATAACATAAGAAGGGCTAAATTTCCTATATGTAAACACAAGATACAAGTATCAAATTTCAGAATTTTAGCTCTTTAATTTTCCCCATTATCTAATTAAGTACCATTTAGTACAATTTTCCAAAACCACCTCCATATCTTAGCCAGAAACACCAACAGTGACAATTATATCAAATTTCAGGATTTCAGCACTCTTCCTTCAACCTAACTGTAATTTAGTACCATTTAGTACATTTCGTATATATAAATGATGCATTTCCAAATCACCGCCAAATCTCATACAGAGGTCCAATCAGTAATCTAAATATCAAATTTCAGAATTGTATTTCTATTCTTTTACCCAATACCAAATATAGTACCATTTAGTAGTTTTCGTACAATTATAATACACATTTTCCAAACCATCTCCATATATCAATCCCAGATACCAACAGAGAGTTCAATATCAAATTTTGGGATTCCAGCTATATCCCTTCACCCAATAACCAATATAGCACCACTAAGAACTTTTCGAACAATTATAGAACCACAGACAAAAGCAGTAACATTTACAGGGTGAGATAAAAAAAAACTACAACAAAGTCAAACGCAATAATTTGTACATTTTTTTTAAACTTTATAAAAATGTCGGAAATAGCATCAAATTTTAGAATAAGTTTATATTTGTTCGAATTGGTCACCTTTGTCACGAATTATAGCCTTCAAACGGCCAATGAAAAAGTCACACGCTGCCCAAATATTGCTCTACGGTATTTTGGTCCATTTCTAGCGAAGCGCTTGCTTGGGTGATCGACACTTTGTTATTTTTTACTGCCAACCTTGCTTTCCAAAATACTTCAGACACAATAGTCCAACGGATTGGTATCCGGAGATTTTGGTGGGCATTGTGCACTGGAAATGA